AAAAAAAGTTTTTTTTTTTTTTTTTTTTTTTTATTTTGCACGTAAATTTACAATGCATTGTCAATTCTCACAATTTCCAGCGATATTTCAGCAGCCGTCATGTTGATTTATATTGGATAATGTAGTTCCGGTCAGTGTTGTATTAATACGCTAAGAATTGTGTCTCGTGATGCATGGTAATTAAAGTCCCATCAACGACACAGCTTTCAAAGAGGCTATATAGTGACAATGCCATGCAAATGTAAATATTATTCAATGAACTTGAAGACGTCAACAAAAACATCGTACTATAATAAATAGTTAATTTAATGTCGACTAAAACATGAGACACTTTGTTTCCTGGTCATGTTATCTGAATCAACCATTGATTACTTACAAGAATGTCTCACCTATTGGTTTGCCTCACAAATTCTTCATCAGATGTAAGCAAATATTATTGAGAAAACTCACTGATTCAGCATCATGTTGGGACATTTTGACGAAAAAGACTCCCGGCCCTTGGCTTTCGTAATTGCAGAAAACAGAGAGCATCATCTATCATTGTGTACAGCAGATCGTACACACAATGTGCGGATTGGTCGAGTGGTTAACACTCCGGCCTTTCACGCAGGCGTCTGGGGTTCGATCCCCGAAGCCACGCTGAAATCTTGGCATGTCAAAAAATCAGGGTTTTTACTGTGGCAGCGAAAGGGTTAATACAAAGAGATTGTCACAGAAAATTCCTGTTATCTCCACACAAAAATATGTATCTCGCGCATAAACCTAACCAGTTTTGAAATTGTCATATTGTTTTTCGAGATTATAAATTTGTTTATATCTTTATTCCAAAAAGGTTGCACTTCGTCAGCAAGTCTAACAGCCACGGATACGAAACAATACCTGACGAGTGAGAATTTTCCTTCTAAGTATTTGACGTAAGTATGCATTTTCTAACTTTTCGTGATATTTGAAAAAATATTAAAAATTCATTTCAGAAAGGAGTACTGCAACCGACGATGTGAATGTGGCAACACTTCTTCAATTAACGTTTAATAGATAAAAAATAACATTCAATATTACATTTACAATTTGAACCGTATTTCTCGTAACAACACCCGCTACAGATTTGGGGGTGGTTCTACATTGTCTCTATTACCCACTGCATATGTATCATAAAATCGCCTAATGTGGGGCCCCCTTCAGAAGAATGGGGGGTTTTCCGTGTCTTCTACAATCGTTTTTAGTTTATTTCTGATTCATTATTATTTCATTGTCTTTTTTTTTATCTTATGATATATTTTCTAATTTTTATATCTTTTTTTGTGGCCTTATTTTAATTTGGGATATACTGTTCATTTTATTACCCAATGTATATCTTATTACCTATTGTAAATTTTTCTATTTACTATTCAAAATCGAATCTATAATGTATTTTATATATAAGGTTTTTATGCTATTATATAATAGTATTGTTAATCGTCCCAGTTGATAAGGTGATGGTATCATTGATCACGAAGATACCGCAGCAAGTTATGTAATTTGGAAGTGTTCAGCTAATTATTCATCACAGTAAACTAACAATCATAACAAAGTATTTCAAACCTGCTAAGACCTTCATGCAGACACTTACAATCGTAATAATTCTGTTTTCTAGAAACAGCAACTGTGCCTGGTTAATCAGTGCCCAGGACAGCTGTGGGAGCCTCGTTTTGGATTTCATACTTCTCGACATTGAAGCAGAATGCAGTGCAGACAAAGTAGCTGTCACTTATGGTAAGCTACATCTATTCGTTGTGTAAATAAAATTGTTTATACAAAAACAAAACGACACTAACGGCTAGCTATTGATAGGTTGATATACAATGTATCACTTACGTTAAGCTATAAGTAGCGTGAAAAATGATACGTCACTGTACATCATGTCAACTTCCTGTGGTAAGAGTACTTTGTGGGGTAGAGAAAAATGTATATCACTTGTGTTACGTGTATAACATCGTGAGTAATACATAATGCCTGCTACAAAATGTACCTGTGGTACTGTTTCTCGTGGGGTAGAGACAAAATGTCTATTACTTTTACGTGTATAACATCGTGCGGTAATAACATTATGTCTTTTATCGAACTGAAGACCAACCGCATTGTGATGCTTGTAATCAACAATTCGATGTCAACCATTTTATGGTTTGGTTTGCCGATTTTTAAACATATGCGATAAAACCCTGTCTATAACAATCCTTTAATATGTCCTATAACATATGACGTCTTCTTTTACAACCAATTCATTTGTAATTTTCTTGTTTACATGATTGTATCAAATAGACGGAGGAACTGCTATCGATCTTTGCCCTGATAATGACTGGAACTCCGTGTCAGAGTACAGCACCACCGGCTCCTCGGCCAGTATAGCTCTAACTTCTGATGGCAGTGATGAACGACACGGATTCGTGATGTCATACATCAGAACAGGTATTTTTGTTTTTTTCAAACATTTTAATACCCCAGAATATTTAGGATACTGCCGGAGTTGGGTAGTCCCGGGATCAGCATCTTCACAATCATGTGTACTCATACAAGAGTGCTCTCATACTTTCTTTCATACTTACAAGTAATTAAAATATTCTTTCTTTATTTTTACTGTCTTCTTTAACACTCATTCTTAAATTCAGACTTACATTCAAAATTAACGTACAAAGCCTTACATACATACAATACATACATTGTACATTCCCTTTGCCGCGCCTCCAGGTGAATAGCCCCGTAATGGGCCTCACTTCCGGAACAAGTCGGCCTTGACCTTGAACAGGTATCTCCATCAGCAACCTTTTCTTAAAACGTTTTTGTTGTCCACCTAATGGTGGGTTGCCGGTTGTATTGCTAACGAGCAGAACTTGCCATGATCTATAGCATGTTCATCAGGCGGTGTTTCAGCGTTTTGTAAAGTTTGCTGGTGGTTCTTTGCATCTGTACAAATTAAAGGCTGATTTTTTTTTTTTTGCAATTACTGTACAAAATATGATCTTTGTTGTTACTATTAAGATCTGCAACTCCAGTTGCTTAAAGAAAAGGACTCGGGGGATGTAAAATTTTAGTGTATGGTGTTAATTAGTATCCTATAAACAGCTATGATCAATTAAGGACGTGCCAGGTTTTGGTGGTGGAGGAAAGCCGGAGTTCCCGGAGAAAACCACCGACCGACGGCCAGTACCTGAACAGACACAAATTAATGTTCAAAATATGACAGTTGCGTGCTATCAAAAGACATAACGAACGCAGTTATACCGGTAATTAAATAGTGCAAAAATACGTCCGTTGCCAGTCACCATTTAGCGCGCAAATGCTCGTGTTGCGTGTAACTTCCGTGTCTCCTTCTAACAGGACGTTGAAGGTCACTTCCGTGTCTCCTTCTTACAGGACTCATGTTGCGGGTCACTTCCGTGTCTCCTTCTTACAGGACTCATGTTGCGGGTCACTTCCGTGTGTCCTTCTAACAGAACTCATGTTGCGGGTCACTTCCGTGTCTTCTTCTAACAGGACTCATGTTGCGGGTCAATTCCGTGTCTCCTTCTAACAGGACTTATGTTGCGGGTCACCTCCGTGTCTCCTTCTTACAGGACTCATGTTGCGGGTCACTTCCGTGTCTCCTTCTAACAGGACTCAGGTTGCGGGTCACTTCCGTGTCTCGTTCTAACAGGACTCATGTTGCGGGTCACTTACGTGTCTCCTTCTAACAGGACTTTTGTTGCGGGTCACCTCCGTGTCCCCTTCTTACAGGACTCATGTTGCGGGTCACTTCTGTGTCTTCTTCTAACAGCGATGTGTTTGTGTATTTGCGTCCTTGCGATAGCGCGGATCTGACTGAAATACTAAGCTGTATGCACCCAGGCAAAGAGTTCCACCTGGTCACATTGAATTGACAACAAGTACACCAGTTGTTGCGATTGACCAAAGTCTGAACGTTACGCGTGGGACTACCATTACTACAATCATGCAACTACCATTTTTTCAGGACTTTGCTATTTCCTGGATTGTGAACAGAATGCATTGCCTTCCTCGCTTTGGAGAACGTTTAACACACGAATTAAACTTGAAGTATTACCAAGCAAGGCACTAGTAAACCAAAAAGGTTGGTCGGAAGAAGAGAGAAAATAGATAGATAACATATGTTGGAACGAAGCATCAGATCACTTTTGGTTTCTTCAACGTCCTGTTAGCAGGAGACACGGAAGTGACCCGTAACATGAGTCCTGTTAGGAGACAAGGAAGTGACCCGCAACACGAGTCCTGTTAGAAGGAGACACGGAAGTGACCCGCAATATGAGTCCTGTTAGAAAGAGACACAGAAGTGACCCGCAACATGAGTCCTTTTAGAAAGAGATACGGAAGTGACCCGCAACGTCCTGTTAGAAAGAGACACGGAAGTGACCCGCAACGTGAGTCCTGTTAGAAGGAGACACGGAAGTGACCCGCAACATGAGTCCTGTTAGAATGAGAGACGGAAGTGACCCGCAACATGAGTCCTGTTAGAAGGAGACAAGGAAGTGACCCGCAATATGAGTCCTGTTAGAAAGAGACATAGAAGTGACCCGCAACATGAGTCCTTTTAGAAAGAGACACGGAAGTGACCCGCAACGTCCTGTTAGAAAGAGACACGAAATGACCCGCAACATGAGTCCTGTTAGAAGGAGACACGGAAGTGACCCGCAACATGAGTCCTGTTAGAAAGAGACACGGAAGTGACCCACAACATGAGTCCTGTTAGAAAGAGTCACGGAAGTGACCCGTAACATGAGTCCTATTAGAAGGTGACACGGAAGTGACCCGCAATATGAGTCCAGTTAGAAAGAGACACGGAAGTGACCCGCAACGTCCTGTTAGAAGTGGACACGGAAGTGACCCGCAACATGAGTACTGTTAGAAGAAGACACAGAAGTGACCCGCAACATGAGTCCTGTTAGAAGGAGACACGGAAGTGACCCGCAATATGAGTCCAGTTAGAAAGAGACACGGAAGTGGCCCGCAACGTCCTGTTAGAAGTGGACACGGAAGTGAGCCGCAACATGAGTACTGTTAGAAGAAGACTCAGAAGTGACCCGCAACATGAGTCCTGTAAGAAGGAGACACGGAAGTGACCCGTAACATGAGTCCTGTTAGAAGGAGACAAGGGTGTGACCCGCAACACGAGTCCTGTTAGAAGGAGACACGGAAGTGACCCGCAATATGAGTCCAGTTAGAAAGAGACACAGAAGTGACCCGCAACATGAGTCCTTTTAGAAAGAGACACGAAAGTGACCCGCAACGTCCTGTTAGAAAGAGACACGAAATGACCCGCAACATGAGTCATGTTAGAAGGAGACACGGAAGTGACCCGCAACATGAGTCCTGTTAGAAAGAGACACGGAAGTGACCCACAACATGAGTCCTGTTAGAAAGAGTCACGGAAGTGACCCGCAACGTCCTGTTAGAAGTGGACACGGAAGTGACCCGCAACATGAGTACATGAGCACCGCCCAAAGCACACAAACACACCGCCTAAATACACAAACACAACGCCCAAAGCACACAAACACACCGCCCAAATACACAAACACACCGCCCAAAGCACACAAACACACCGCCCAAATACACAAACACACCGCCCAAAGCACACAAACACAAGTGCAACCAAACATAACACTTGGATGAACGTTCTTTAATGACCATAGCTGTTAATAGGAAGTTGAATGAAATAAAATGTATCGATCTCTTTGCATTTGTCAAGAGTGATTGATTTTCTAATATTTTCCAAATCATTGTCAGTAATAGATTAGATTATTTAAATTCCGTCACGTTTGGGTTAACCGATATTGCTGTTAACGGCCTTGCTGTAGGTAGTTTTACTAGAGGAAATCAGATAACGTACTGTATGTAGTTTTACTAGAGGAAATCGGATAACGTACTGAAGGTAGTTTTACTAGAGGAAATCAGATAGCGTACTGTTGGTAATTTTACTAGAGGAAATCAGATAACGTACTGTATGTAGTTTTACTAGAGGAAATCAGATAACGTACTGTAGGTAGTTTTACTAGAGGAAATCAGATAACGTACTGTTGGTAGTTTTACTAAAGGAAATCAGATAACGTACTGTTGGTAATTTTACTAGAGGAAATCAGATAACGTACTGTAGGTAGTTGTACTAGAGGAAATCAGATAACGTACTGAAGGTAGTTTTACTAGAGGAAATCAGATAACGTACTGTAGGAGGTTTTACTAGAGGAAATCAGATAACGTACTGTATGTAGTTTTACTAGAGGAAATCAGATAACGTACTGTTGGTATTTTACTAGAGGAAATCAGATAACGTACTGTTGATAATTTTACTAGAGGAAATCAGAAAACGTACTGTAGGTAATTTTACTAGAGGGAATCAGTTGTACTAAAGGAAATCAGATAACGTACTGTTGGTAATTTTCCTAGAGGAAATCAGATAACGTACTGTAGGTAGTTGTACTAGATGAAATCAGATAACGTACTGAAGGTAGTTTTACTAGAGGAAATCGGATAACGTACTGACGGTAGTTTTACTAGAGGAAATCAGATAACGTATTGTAGGTAGTTGTACTAGAGGAAATCAGATAACGTACTGAAGGTAGTGTTACTAGAGGAAATCAGATAACGTTCTGTAGGTAGGTTTACTAGAGGAAATCAGATAACGTACGCGCGTACTCTAGGTAGTTTTACATGAGGAAATCAGATAACGTTCTGTAGGTAGTTTCAATAGAGGAAATCAGATAACGTTCTGTAGGTAGTTTGACTAGAGGAAATCAGATAACGTACGCGCGTACTCTAGGTAGTTTTACATGAGGAAATCAGATAACGTTCTGTAGGTAGTTTCAATAGAGGAAATCAGATAACGTTCTGTAGGTAGGTTTACTAGAGGAAATCAGATAACGTACGCGCGTACTCTAGGTAGTTTTACAAGAGGAAATCAGATAACGTACTGTAGGTAGTTGTACTAGAGGAAATCAGATAAAGTACTGAAGGTAGTTTTACTAGAGGAAATCAGATAGCGTACTGTTGGTAATTTTACTAGAGGAAATCAGATAACGTATTGTAGGTAGTTGTACTAGAGGAAATCAGATAAAGTACTGAAGGTAGTTTTACTAGAGGAAATCAGATAGCGTACTGTTGGTAATTTTACTAGAGGAAATCAGATAACGTTCTGTAGGTAGTTTTACTAGAGGAAATCAGAGAACGTACGCGCGTACTCTAGGTAGTTTTACAAGAGGAAATCAGATAACGTTCTGTAGGTAGTTTGACTAGAGGAAATCAGATAACGTACGCGCGTACTCTAGGTAGTTTTACAAGAGGAAATCAGATAACGTACTGTAGGTAGTTGTACTAGATGAAATCAGATAACGTACTGAAGGTAGTTTTACTAGAGGAAATCGGATAACGTACTGACGGTAGTTTTACTAGAGGAAATCAGATAACGTCCTGTTGGTAGATTTACAAGAGGAAATCAGATAACGTACTGTAGGTAGTTTTACTAGAGGAAATCAGATAACGTACTCTAGGTAGTTTTACTAAAGGAAACGATATAATTATTATTGTTGTTTTAGGGTGTACAGTCACTACAACTACAGAACAAGCCACTAGCGTACAAGCAGATCCCCCATCCGCGATTAACCAGGACAACGTTAACGCCGGTGCTATAGCAGGAGGGGTAATAGGTAGCGCAGCCCTTGTGCTTGGGATAGCTGCGATTGCCAAAGGCATCATCGGACACAAAGGTTTAAAAGTCGGCGGTGAAAGCTTTCCCAGTACGGCGAAAAAGGGAAAACCTAACGACCTAGAAAATACCGGACATGATTCTCATCCAGATGATGCCTATGAAAATGTACCTACGCACGTTGAAAATAGAGCTGTCCCTACAGCTACGTATTGAATTAACTGAAAATAAACTCATGGTCAACATGGTTGCTAATCATTGCAAGTCGGATATTCTGTTTCTCCCATCCCGACAGTGAAGAAGCTTTCTTATCTGTTTAGAATAGTTCTCCTATAATGTGTTACGTGACGTCATTATTTCCATTGTATTGCAACAAATGCACAGGCACCAACGTAACATTGAAAACCAACAGGGTGGTTGTAAAAGTATTAGGGATATCCTTGAATGTTAAACAGATATCTTTAGATGAATTAAAGAAATCTACTTGTATATTAAAGGTATGTTCAAATGTAAAGTTATTAGAGATATCTTAAACTGGAATTCAGATATTTTTAAATGAATTGAATTATATTTCAACCACATTATAAATGTCTTTAGATGTGAAAGAGATATGCTATATAACCAGGACAATATGAGATATATCTTTTTTACCGTGATATATCTCCTAATGTGATATATAGATATATAAATTTCAGATATTAAAAGTTAAGTTGGCGTGCCATAGTTTCCAGTTTGTTTACACCTCTTGTTTAACTCATTCACCGCTAAAGACACATTTGAACTCTTCCAATTCCGAGGTTGGAATAGTCCATCATAACATTTCAAGGGTGAATGAGTTAATCAACCTGTTTGGAAATATCCGATATCGCAGGAGTAAGAAGAGTCTGGTACAGTAAATAGTACTTTACCATGAAGTCCATTATCTGAAGACAGATATTTTAGAATTGTTACCAATTCATTTTCTGCTTGACTAAGATATATCATTTTTTCATTCAATCGTGTGAATGTTTTGATGCTTTAATTAAATACAAATTGATTAGTTTGACCAGACGGTAAACAATTCAACACCTGATTTTCGGGGAAAGTGTAAACGCAACCATTTTTGTGTTCAATTTGAGTCCTAATAACAATAGTTTTAGTATATGGCAAGTCGCAATTGCTTGAATATTGCAAGAGACATACGTAGTATACTACGTTTAAAAGGATATAAATTAGGAGATTTAACAAAAGGTATTTTTTCTGAATCTTTTATTTTCAGTTATATGAAATAATTCTTCGATTTCGAAACTAGGCATATACAACCAATTACTTATTGTAATCAATAATTATTAAACCAGTTATAAAAACGTTTAACCATGTAACAATAAAGAACGCAATGCCCTGACCTGTGCATGTTCGGAGAAAGAATAGCCTGCTGTCTTCATAACCCCGGCTGCTGCGCCCAGTATTAATATAACTATAACAATGTATGTTGAATATTATTTATACAAGGACTACATATACAACTAATTGTTATATATACTGTTATTGTTTCAGCAATGAATGTTTTAGTAAATGTTGTTATGGTCCTATAACACACATTGCTATTGATGTCAAACTTAATAAAGCCCGGCAGAGCTTTGTTAGCAATACAAATGTGTGTTATAGGACCATAGCAACATTTGCTAAATCATTCATTATTTATATTCACATTTTGATAGAGTAGTTACGCTATATTAAGTATTTTCGAACAGTTAATTGAACAGGAAATTAAATCTTGAAAACATTGAAATCGATGACGATTGAGGACGTTACAAAAGCAAATGATGTTATAGTCTGACAACAACATTTGCCTTCTCAATGCATTGCAATGGAAGGATGCAGAGCCAATGTAAATATAGGTCAATGCTAATGTATGCATCATCATATTATAGATATTAATACTCTTTGACGTGCAGCAACAGACCCAGATAAGTTGTCGTTTTGCTATTTGATACGCAGAAATACCCTAAAGTGCTTTAAAACACATCACCTTATGTAAACCAATCCAAAATACATCACCTTATGTAAAACAATCCAAAATACATCACCTTATGTAAACCAATCCAAAATACATCACCTTATGTAAAACAATCCAAAATACATCACCTTATGTAAACCAATCCAAAATACATCACCTTATGTAAACCAATCCAAAATACATCACCTTATGTAAAACAATCCAAAATACATCACCTTATGTAAACCAATCCAAAATACATCACCTTATGTAAACCAATCCAAAATACATCACCTTGTGTAAACCATTCCAAAATACATCACCTTATGTAAACCTTATATAAACCTTATGTAAACCAATCCAGATCGTGTGTCAGAACTATTAGTTTTGTTCTGTTGTGATTTGTGTCATTTAAGAGTCTACATCGTTGTTTGTTTCGTGTTTCAGTACCAGTAGGTTGTCCTGGTGTGATTTATTTGACTTTAGGGTCTACATTGTTGATGTTTTCATTGTTAGTCGGTATTCGTGGTGTATTTTATTTTATTTAAGGGGTTTTACTGTTAACTTATTTTCATTATCAGTGGGTATCGTGGTTTCATTCGTTTTGTTTAAGGTTTTTTTTATTGTTTATTTGTTTTTAATTACCAGTGGGTATTCGTGGTGAATTTTGTTTTATTTAAGGGTCTTCACTGTTAATTTGTTTTCATCACCAGTGGGTATTCGTGGTATCTTTTGTTTTATATTAAGGTCTTCATTGTTAGTTTTGTTCATTTGTAGTAGGTATTCATTTTGCCTCGTTTTTGTGTCGCCTGCGAAAAGCTGGTGGCACATAGGTATTGCTATGTCGGCGTCGGCGTCGTCAGTGTCGGCGGCGTCGTCCGCACAGAGGTTTTCGTGCGATAACTTGAGTTTCATTGGGCCGATCTAACTTCATGCAGTGCTTCCTTACCAAAAGTGCTTGCTTGGGATTGCTTTTCAGGTCCGAAGGTCAAAGGTCAAGGTCACTGTTACTATAAATAGAAAATCTGTTTTAGTGCGATAACTTGAGTTTCCTTGGGCCGATCAAACTCAAACTTCATGCAGTGCTTCCTTACCAAAATGCGTGCTTGGGATTGCTTTTCAGGTCCGAAGGTCAAAGGTCAAGGTCACTGTTACTATAAATAGAAAATCTGTTTTCGTGCGATAACTTGAGTTTCCTTGGACCGATCAAACTCAAACTTCATGCAGTGCTTCCTTACCAAAAGTGCTAACTTAGAATTGCTTTTCCGGTCCGAAGGTCAAAGGTCAAGGTAATTGTTACTATAAATAGAAAATCTGTTTTCGTGCGATAACTTGAGTTTCCGTGGACCGATCAAACTCAAACTTCATGCAGTGCTTCTTTACCAAAAGTGCTTGCTTGGGAATGCTTTTTAGGTCCGAAGGTCAAAGGTCAAGGTCACTGTCACTATAAATAGAAAATCTGTTTTCGTGCGATAACTTGAGTTTCATTGGGCCGATCTAACTTCATGCAGTGCTTCCTTACCAAAAGGGCTAACTTAGAATTGCTTTTCCGGTCCGAAGGGCAAAGGTCAAGGTAATTGTTACTATAAATAGAAAATCTGTTTTCGAGCGATAACTTGAGTTTCCTTGGACCGATCAAACTCAAACTTCATGCAGTGCTTCTTTACCAAAAGTGCTTGCTTGGGATTGCTTTTCAGGTCCGAAGGTCAAAGGTCAAGGTAACTGTTACTATAAATAGAAAATCTGCTTTCGTGCGATAACTTGAGTTTCATTGGGCCGATCTAACTTCATGCAGTGCTTCCTTACCAAAAGGGCTAACTTAGAATTGCTTTTCCGGTCCGAAGGTCAAAGGTCAAGGTAACTGTTACTATAAATAGAAAATCTGTTTGCGTGCGATAACTTGAGTTTCCTTGGCCCGATCAAACTCAAACTTCATGCAGTGCTTCCTTACCAAAAGTGCTTGCTTGGGAATGCTTTTTAGGTCCGAAGGTCAAAGGTCAAGGTAACTGTTACTATAAATAGAAAATCTGTTTACGTGCGATAACTTGAGTTTCCTTGGCCCGATCAAACTCAAACTTCATGCAGTGCTTCCTTACCAAAATGCGTGCTTAGGATTGCTTTTCAGGTCCGAAGGTCAAAGGTCAAGGTAATTGTTACTATAAATAGAAAATCTGCTTTCGTGCGATAACTTGAGTTTCCGTGGACCGATCAAACTCAAACTTCATGCAGTGCTTCCTTACCAAAAGTGCTTGCTTGGGATTGCTTTTTAGGTCCGAAGGTCAAAGGTCAAGGTCAATGTTACTATAAATAGATAGCAAGGTCCTTAAAACTCAGAGTATTCTTCCCAGAATTACAGATTATATAACAAAATGATGCCATCCAAAAACATAATCTTTGATTATTGCTTACTTTTAACATTATTTCTTGAAATGAAAAGTGTATTTATTTCTTCGTATTTTCCCAGCTTCCTGCGCAGACGACACATCCACTTCCGTGGAATTATTGTATTTAAGGGTCTTTGCTGTTAATTTGTCTTCATTACCAGTGGGTATCAATTTAGTTTTTCGTTTTATGTTAGGGTATACAATGTGATAGTGAGGTTTACTTGAATGGCCATGGACTTACTGTCTTGTTTATGATCTATGTTTGTGTACACTTGTATACTAATGTTACTATGCCTTTTGCACTGATTTGATCGCGATGGATATTCACATTATCATGTATGATAATAATTATGAATGCTGCATATGTTCTGTTTTGTTATTAAGGATAAGTGTACACTTCAGGGGGTCTAAAATGGACTTATCCAGGGCTACCAGTTTGAATTAATCATTGCCAGTCGGATATTCTGTTTCTCCCATCCCGAACATATGCATTAGATAAGAAACTATTTGTCTCCTCTAGAATAATTATCCTATGTGCATAAAATTTGTAATGTGACGTCATTATTTTTGCATTAAATGCTTACACGTTGTATTACATTGAGACAGTAAAATATATCAGTTTATCGATAATAAGTGCAAAAAGGACAATCATTCAACTCGGTTTAATACAAACAGGTTAAATATAAGTTCAATCCAATGGCAATAACAAGATCTAACCCAAAATTAATTGTGATATATATATGTATAAGATTAAAAAAAAGTCCATGTACTTCCAACAAGGAAAACAAATCGTACTAGCAAAACGCGAAACTAACCTAGGATAAAATTGAGTCATCTCGCTCTTTCGTTATTTTATCTCAATATAGGACGAGTGGGGTAAACTCTGAGAGTCATCCAAACACATCGGCTTTATCCAACTGTTGTTAACGCCACACACAAATAGTGTAAGGTAGTTCGTGGTACATTCCTCTCGCATAGTAAAGTAGAAGCGTTCATCCTTTGGAAGAAAACTGAAGTGATACATCAATCAACCACCGCATGCTGCCAAAGGTAGTCACATTATAAAACATTTACCTTCCATAATGCTAAATAATTATATTAAAATTTAAAATTCGCTTTTTTTATTTTTAGATTGCATTAATGTCAGTTTTTGACGATTGTAAGTGGTGTTAGTGAAAATTCACTTGGCTCTATCCAGGACAGGAGCACGTGACGGGGAAAATTACTGTTATACATCATATTGGAGAGTATTTGTTCTCTTTTTATAGCGAATGAAATGGTTCTACATGTACAAATGCTTCATAAATTGATAACGGCCACTAACTCGCATGACCCAATAAACAGTTGATTGGTTTTTGTACGGTTTTAAGTCATCACCACAGTTTGGACACGGTGTTCGGATGATGGGGTCACTCAAAGGTCACCTTAAAGTGCTATCCAACTGAAATGTCGTGACCTGAACACCAGAGTTGTAGAGATACAAACCTGCGCGGTGGTACATTCATCCTTAAGCCCTTTACTTGTATAATTTATTTATGTGTATATCGTGTGGAACGTTATCAGCTTATTTATGTTTTGAGTTATACCTGTAATAAACGTTTAACAAACACATATCGGGTCGGTAGTTTTCTTTACACAGACAATTTACACAATCGTATTTGATTCTCGGCGATTTATTAATAACTTCTATAATAGTGAACAAAAGTATGTATTTGCTCAATTATTGTTGAACAGTTATAAGGCCTTAAAAGTAACAATTACGTAACAGAAATCAGTAGTCTGGGGAATGATCTGCCATATCATAATACAATTCTGAACAGGTAAAATATCACTCTAATATATCGATAGAAACCTAGTACCTAAAAACGTAGTGTAGCTTTTCTCTTAAAGTTATTTCAGTTTGACTACTAATCAGTTCGTCTTTTAACAAGTCATCCATAAGTTATGCCCTACAACAAGGCTATACTATATTTATTCTAAAACACTTTTGACCTCTCCAACCCAGGAAAACAATTTTGTTTACCTCAAAATGTGGGCAGACCATAAACAGGTACTACTTCGTTTTTATTTCTTATAAACTTTTTGTTAGTCGAGATCGCATTGTTTACTTTAAGCAGATAATCTGAACTGCTAATCATTTTTACATTACAAATGAATATTTGATAGGTAACACCTCACTGGCTTGGAGGAGGCCCGGAGTTGTGAATAAATGGATATAAACCTAATATATCGTTTGTAGTCCTGGGCCCGTATTCAGGAAACAGATATCATGTTCAAGCATGGATTCTGTGCTCAAACTGACTTTCTTGTTACTCATTTAAATTTGAATCGTTTCCCAAATCATTGTCAAAATAAGATTTTATCATTAATTTGTAACCGGTACAAGAAAGTAGGCTTGAGCACAAAATCCATGCTTGAGCATGTTTTAAAACGGTTTCATGAATATGGGCCCTGGGCTCGTACATGTATTCATGAAACCATGAGAACGAATTCATGAATATGGTCCCTGGGTTCGTACATGTATTCATGAAACCATGAGAACGGATTCATGAATATGGGCCTTGGGCTCGTACATGTATTCATGAAACCATGAGAACGGATTCATGAATACGGGCCCTGGTTTTCAGTGGCATTGTACTATGTTGTACAATGCTCTACTAAACTATGGCGTAATCTACACAGCATGGCCTTAATGTGCTGCTGTCCTAGTCCTAGCTCAGGAATGTGGTGAGTAGGACACATCGTCGGTTCTTG